GGGGGGGGGGGGGGGGCGGGAAGCAGTGGCCAGTACATCCCTCGGCCCGTGCCGCTTCCCACAGCCCCCATTGGCCTGGGACGGCGAACCACGGCCAGTGGGAGCCGCAATCGGCCGAACCTGCGGAGGCGGCAGGTAAACAAACCGGCCCGGCCAGCCAGGGGGCTTACCTTGGCGGTCCCGTGCCAAAGGTTGCTGATCCCTGTTTTAGAGCCAGATGTCCTAGGTTCAATTGCTACAAGTGACCCATACAAGATGGTTATTATATTAGTCACCCCTGTCAGATGATTTCTGTTATCAGTAGTGAAGCACAGAAAACAAAGTGCAAATCTGTTTGAAGACAGCAGGACAAAGGCCTCAAAATAAATTTTACTACATGTGATAAAACTCCTTCCGCTCCAACCTCCCCCACAAAGACTCTTCACACATCTTTGAGAACCCAGGGGAAAATATAAAAAATACAGTATAGCCTTTAGGAATACCAAGTGAGAAAATCATCTATATAGGCGAGACAGCTTTTAGATTTAACAAAAGAGCAAGAAGTAGAAATTAATCATTGCAAAGGAAGAATTCTTCCCTCAGAGTACACAGTTCCCCTCCAAAATACCACAATTGATAAATTATCCTTTTAACCATTCCTCTCTGCTAAATGAAGGATTTCCTCAATTTCTTTATCACAAAAAGCATAGCTGATCTACAGTGTAGGAAGACAAACTTTTTAATACTTATGGCTTGTAATAGTGGGATAGACATGAAAAGTGGAGGAAGTTTTAGATCATTGTCAGGAGAATAAGGGAAGGGAGAAGCATTGCATTAATATTAACGCAAACTGGAAAAAAAGCTTCGTAAAATGTACATTAGGTCAAGTATAATCTAGTGTTGTAATAATGGAGGAAAGGAACTTCTTTCTGTGTACAAAGAATATAGAACAAATTGATTATGGTTACATTCATTTATTAATACAATTGTCTGAAATTGCATTTATGCTGAAAATTACTCCTGGTTGGAGCTAGTGAGATTATATTTTAAAATGTGAATACTGTTCCTCAACACATAGGTTAATTGTTATAGAGCTGAGTACAGACTGTTTTAACGTGTTTACTTCTGACCAGAGGCATTACTAACACACACGAAGACTTTAATAAGGTTTGTGCCTTGTCACATGTATTAAATAGCCTCCTTTTCTTTTTCAACTCTTTTGTTTATAGTTCACAGTAAAGAGATTGTGTTAAATCTCTTTTCCCGAAGTTTAAGAAGGCTTAAAAAATAAGTGTAAGGAGATTGGAGACAGATTTAACACAGACCTCTCATATCCACAGGAAACTCACCTCTCTCTTAACAAACAGTGAAAGGAACTTGGTATCATTCAAATAGTTTCCCTATTACAATACTTTTTCTTTCCCAAATCAGGATATTCCTGCCCTGGCCAGGGAGTAAAGGAACATGTTGTACAGTTCTGTAGCCAGCCTGCCAGACAACGTAGCAGTGACACTTGTGAGCAGTGGCGCTGGAAAGAGTGCAGAAGTGTGGGGTGGGGGCCAAATTTGAGGCAGTGGCATTGTGACCTAGCACATGGGTTTGCCTTTGGCTTCCATTTCTATAGAAAAACCAGAGGGGTGCCCTTCCCCTCCAAATAGGGACACTTACAAGTCAGCCCTACGTATTCTATTCAGTAACATCCCAGACAGTGTTCAGAATTACATGCATTTGTCCAGAGCTCAGACTTCGGACCCTATGTGAAGCTGCAGAGCCACTATACTGACTCACCACAGAAGCCAGATCAGATGGAGTTTTAACTCCATTTCAGGGATATAAAAAAAGTCTGAGGGTCACAGAGAAAGGAACTAGAAAGAAAGACAGGAAGACACTCTGGCTATGGTTTGAAGGTTGCTCTAGGACAGGGGTCAGCAACCTTCGGCACGCAGCCCATCAGGGTAATCTGCTGGCGAGCCGCGAGACATTTTGTTTATGTGGACCATCTGCAGGCACGGTCCCCCGCAGCTCCCAGTGGCCACGGTTCACTGTTCCCAGCCAACGGGAGCTGCGGGAAGCAGTGTGGGAGAGCTGCAGGGGGCCATGCCTGTGGACCGTCAACATAAACAAAATGTCTCACGGCCTGCCAGCGGATTACCCTGATTGGCCGCATGCCGAAGGTTGCCGACCCCAGCTCTATGATATAAAACAAAATCTCACTCTCCTCCTCCTCCTGTTTTGCTTTTAGGTGGGTGGATAGAGGGAAAGGCACAGAACTGGCCTGGCAACTACATCCATTCACACTACCAACCAGAGTTAAAAAGTAAGTTCCTGGTCCCCTGGGAATGGTGAAGAATAACGTCCCAGATCCTGAGCTGCCATGTGAAAGAAACCCTTACTGATACTGTTTCCATAGGAAAACTGAGTCAATAATACCATAAGACAAACAGCTGACCCTCCTCTTCCCCTCTCAAGCACGCCCCATCCGCACCAGACCAACCCTTCCCAGAGCCCTTGAGGGAGCACTTCTAACTTCCTTCCCTCCCACCCCCCACCACCGCTACCGCCAGCCTGACCCTCTCAGAGCCCTCGAGGGAGCCCCCTGCCTTCTCCAGCCCAGCCCTCCCGGAGTCCTTGCCTCCCCCATCCCACCAGCCTGACTCTTCCAGAGCGCCTTCCTCCCCCACTCTTTACCTTACCCTCCCTGCTAGTGAGCCTCTCACCCTCGCATGCTGGGTTTGTCCCACTTCCTGGATCTGGCTGTTCCCCCGGCACCAAGAGGAGCCACTGCTGTGGTTTTGGCAGGGGGGCCGGCACACAGCACAATGCAGAGTGGGGCCTGGTTGTCACATTGTATGTGGCATGACAAAGAACAGGACCCGGGTGCTGGCCAGGTCACAGCACACCTCCTCCTAGACAGGAACGTGTTCAATTAAAAAAAAAAAAAGCGGGGGAGGAGGGGATGACACTCTGTTTCTGGCACCTATGCTTGTGTGCTCTGAACACTGTCCCATCCCAGTCTCTGCAGCCAGAAGGAAGGCAATTAAGAGTGTGCTGGAATGGGATCAGAACAATGAAGCAGAGTAGTATGGAAGATTTTGGGGGCTACATGAGGCATCTGGAGGGAAAAAGTGTATTCTAAGACGGTGAAAATGGTGAAGGGAAGCAAGCAAAACAGATGAAAACAAAGTCTGTGTTCCATTAAGTGCCTTTCCTTGTGGAAATTGTATATAGCCTAGATAAAGATGAGTCAATATTCCACCAGGGCTCCTTGAAGTTGTGTCATTTCCCCCAACCTCTATATTGCTGCAGGAGACTTTACTTGTGCGACAGAGTAGGCTTATTTCTTAAATCTTGCTGTGGAAAAAGGGGTAATCATTTGTTCATGGAACAATGGATGCTTCAGAAGTGCGGACAGATAAGATGTCCAAATAAAACTACAGGCACTGAGAGTGGCTGCATCAGTATAATGCTTTTGACAGGACCTTAAAACCTGGAGCTGAAAAAAAGTCTTGCTTTAAGAAAATGAGAAACAGAAAGTACTTTATGAGGGATCTGTACTTTAAAGAGTATTTGGGAACACTTGCCAGTGACCAAAAGAGAGAAAAGATGAAACAACGCAAAATATCTAGAAGTTGTGGGGGGGCAGGGATTTAACCTGACTTTTGCCAAAACCTATAGCATTCACCAATTTTGAAATTCTCACAGATGTCATCTACCTCCTTTGAACTACAAACTCTTTGTTCTGAAACATTTAGCCCTTCTGCAAGGAACAAAACCATAAATAGAAAATTTCAGGAAAAGGGAAATTTAAAAAAAGAGAGAGAAAAGGAATAGAATATTCATGTTTGGTTTTAACCCTGCAAACCCTTATGCACGTGCTTAACTTTACACATAAGTAGTCTCACTGATGTCAGTGAGACTACTCACATGCATAATGTTAATCACATGCACAAGTATTTGCAAGATCCAGGTCTCACACAGTAATAGGAGAATATTATAAACCCAAAAATTGAGAATTGGAAAGAAAAAACAAAGTAGGTGCAGGGTTAAAAATATTAAATTAAATTTTTCTATTTGTTTTTAACAAATATTTAAATATTTTCTAAAAAATGTGCTCTAGTTCAATAGGCTTCCTATAATAATTACTGTATAATTCTATGGCCAAAATTATACAGGAGGGCAGACTAGATAATTACAATGGTCTCCTCTGGTCTTTCACACACACACACACACACACACAAAAAAAAAAAATCTATGAATCTATAACCTTCCTTCTATTTTGATTTTTGTTGGAAATTTTTTGATTTTTGTTGGAAAATTTTTGATTAACAGAAGAACTGAGAGTTTGATAAATGGAAGATATTAAAGTAGAAATAAATATCCCAAAATTGATTTTTTTTAAGAACATCAAGGCATATTTCTTTGGCACTTTGCTTGTTTGAATTGGACTACTCATGACAGTAAGCACGGCACTGGCCACTAAGTAGTTCTATGATCACGCTCTGTGAATATTCGCTCTTCACTGCAAGGATCTGTCTTAAGTGTTTCTTAAGCATGCAGTATTTTTTGGTACTTAAACAGCGGTAGTAATAGTAACAACAGTAGATTTACTGGAATTTAAGAAGTACCTGTTCTAGTAACTCGTTTCAGTAGCACTGCTTTTTGCATTAAATACTATCAATAATAAAAGATAACTAAATAAAGCAAGCTTTGGAAACAAAAATATCAAACAATGTCATTCGCAAGTAGATTTCGGAAGCCAGTGATTAGCAGTCATAATTTGCATGACACCTGAATACGGTTATTTAAAGACACCACAGGAAACACCAGAGGAGAAGTTACTAAAAAGTCATGATTCTGTTGGTCATGATTGGTATAAAAATTTTCTATAGCATGTGCCATGTCCAACTTTACCTCCGTTTTAAGAAGTCAGTTCTCTAAAGAAGGAGGAGGAGGAGGAGGAGCAATAATGCAGCAGTTTTCCAGTCTGGAATGCATCTGTCAAGCTTTAAAATATTCTTCAGTTCTGTGAAAGATGAAAATAGAAAATCTGAGATAATCAAAACAAAGACACAAGACGGGCTTTGGAAAACTACACACTATACTTATTTTACTTAATACATTTTTCTGCATCATAGACAAACTGCAGAAATTACCAGCTAAAAAGCATTACCCGATTTACTAAAGCACTCCATTCCACCCCAAAAAAAAAAAAAAAATCTGTAACAAACACAACACGCCAAACAGTGTTTTACCCTAAAAAGGAAGAGAACCAGAGATTATGTGAAATTTACTAGGGACTTTGTAACAGAATTTATACGGAAGGTGTTCAGATGCTGTAGTGACTGGCAGCAGTATAAAACACAAAGATAGAAAGAACACTAAAAATGAAATTTGATAACCAACAGTACATATAAAAGATACCCATAAGACACACTTATTAAAAGGAAATTAGAATTTTTGCAAGATTAAGCACAATCAATACCCTGAATCTTCAGAACATAAAAATCAGAAGATCAAAACCATAAGAGCAGCATGTCTTAAAAAGTGTTCCTTCTTCCCATCACAAGCATTTTGTTCTGATATCTATTTACTACAAGGTTAAAAGTTTGAAAATCACTTCAGGGAAATTGCCACCACCGAGAAAAGTCAGTATACTTGCCAATATAATGTAGGAGCCATTAGCTAGGGACTTACGTTGCAAATAAAGATTTTGTACACCTCAGATCACTTCAGGATTGCTGAACTCCGAAGACTGCACCTTCTTATTGTCAGTGTATTTTAATGACTTCAGTATAGTTTAAGAGTACCTTGGATTATCTTACTGTATTACTGAGCACTTTCAGTTGTACATTCAATACTACAGGGCTCTTTCACTCACGCTAAAGTGTGCACACACACGAGCCAAGCCTAGGTGAATTAGTGAGAATAAGATGCTGAAATCCTATGATGTGTTTCCAAAGTGTATGGAACTGTTCCATTCTATACTGTTTAAGTTACTATTGTTCCTTCTCCAGTACAAATGGTTAGTAAAAAGTCCCTTTCTCTCAATATTAGTAAAACATATATTAAGCGGAACAGCGGCTCACATTAGGCTAAATTTCAACTGTTAGCCTTTACAACAAATAAAAATAGGGTGAACTTAAAAGGGACAGTATGAATTTTCTGTAATCAGACATTTTCAGGCAATTTCTTACAGGAACCGCTAAGTAATATCTGATTATTTTTTTAATTCCTTTTAAAAAAGGGGTGGTTCTTCTCCCGTGTGGATATTCATATGGATCTTTTCAAGCACGTAAAAAATGACTATCCAAGTGGAACAGTGAAACCAACTATACGCAGACTGCTGTCAAATGCACAAAATAGACAGAAAAACAGAGAAAAATATTTTTCCACTCTTTCAGCTATAGTAATCTCACTTGTTACTTGAACTCTAAAACAAATTTTTCAGACAGAAATGTTAGTATTTCAAGTAGATGTTCTCCCTTTCATTCACTGTAGCCAAGAACCCTATAAACTTCCATGTTTTAGAATAGTAGTTGTGATTAATCTCTGAGCAAAAGTATTGCCAAGCTTAAAATGAACAAAGGTATTGTCAGTGTTAGGCCTCAAACTTCCGCTTTGCAAAGGTAAAAAGGGCATGCTTTGCAGAAGTAAGCTAAGACTTATGGTCAAAACGCGCTGCAAACAGATAACACATTCTAACTCCTATAAAAGGAGATAAGTTGTGCTCCCGGGCACAGCTTGTCTAACCCACAATTAAAACAATTGGCTACAAGAAAATAAGTAAGTATAAATTATATGGTCAAAGCGACACAAAGAGATAAGGAAGCATAAATTATACAGCCAAAGCGACAACGCTAACCACAATAAAGATTTGGCTGACCCGAATTGGTCTGTCTGTTTTAAGACATGGCGGACAGATCAGATAAAAAGTACGAAGGCATGGGACTGCGTGTGTGTGTGTTTTGGTCATAAGGGAAACCTGACCCACACCCCCTGAACCGAAGGGACGTGCACTTCGCAACCATCTGTACCTGGCCAGTGTGGAAAACGGCCGACTGAAGGGTAACGTATTCTCGGGTGAATGCAGGGTAAGGTTATAGAGTAAAGAAGTCTGGTTGCTCGGGCAGAATTGATCTCAAGTTGTATCGATACTATAGTGTTAAGATAGTAGTAAATAGCTAATGAATAATAACTTTACATGTACTTGTGCTTGTCTTCAGTATAACTTGCCATTTATATTAATCCTTATTCAGTGCTGGTCTTTAATCTTGCTTTTCTTGTTTTGTCTGTGTTGCCTTTATAGTTGAAAGTCATTAAAAACCTTCTTTGAGGAATAATCAGTAGTTTTAATTTTTCTTATACAGACACTACTCAACCTCATTACATCTGTGTTGCGTGGTGGGAAGTAGTGATCACCCAGGGAACAATTAGGGTCCTGATGCATGCCTCCCTCTTCCTTTATCTCTGCAGTAGTCAATAGGCGGACCGCAGGCCAAATACGGACCACCAGACGCTTTTGAACGGACCCAAATAATCTTTTTTATTTAATTATTTATTTTATTATTTTCTCTGGAGTCTGCTCCTTGACTATACCTTAACCACAAAATTTGGACACCGACAAAAAAAAATTGACTAACCCTGTTTTAGAATGTGTTAAAACATTATTTGGTCCTGAACTTGAAATATGACCTACCTGAGGGGACTTATGTCCATGCAGAGCCCACTAAAAATCAGTGGGATTTTGCATAGGCATATGGGTCTTCCTGCATGGCGCTAATTGCAGGATCACAACCAAATAAATTCAGATTGGGGGGCGAGATAGCTCAGTGGTTTGAGCATTGGCCTGCTAAACCCAGCGTTGTGAGTTCAATCCTTGAGGGGGCCATTTAGGCATCCGGTGGCAAAAATCTGTCAGGGACTGTACTTGGTACTGCTGTGAAGGCAGGGGACTGGACTTGATGACCTTTCAAGGTCCCTTCCAGTTCTGAGAGACAGGTATATCTCCATATAATAATAAATATTTCTCATCATTTATCTGTACTACACAGCAACCAGTCACATTTAAGTAAAATATCTGCAGGTTTTCTGGAATTATTAATCATCTTAGTAGGAGTACTTTTAAAGTAATTAAATTACTATAATTTCATTATATAACCTCACAAAAGACCCACAGAAAACAAAACAAAAACCAGCACAAGGATTCCTCCACTTACAGAAAAGCAACAAATCACTGTCTTTGAAACAAGATTGATACAGTATTTGTTTCTGTCAGCTCCTAGACAATGACTCCTCTTTCCATCCTGTCTTTAAATGATTACTGTAGATTGGAAGATTTTGAACAAGTGGTCACAGTATACAAACACCACACACCAGGTGAGCCCAAAAAAGGTAAGGCCAGTTCTGCAGTAAGTGCAAATGTGGCTATTTCTTTGGAGAAACCTAGCATAAAGGATGTAGAAATATGCTTTATAAAACACAGTCTCCAACAACCATTAGTCTATATGAAGCAATGTCAGGGTTCCAGTAGGAAGACAAAATATACATTTTATAACGCTGGGCAAAGCACTGAATGTTGCTGTATATTTTAAACAACAAAGGCTCTTTGCCCTCTAGCTCTGAAATTCAGAACAAATCTGCAGTAAGAACACAAAGAAAGCTGACTTCTGTTGAAACACGGAGACTTAGAAGGCTATCAGCAGAAACATATATCAGACCCATTGTTACTACTGTTAGATGTATAGTGGAAATGCAGTGAATGGGAATAGGAGGGCAGTACTATAGATTTAGTGACACAAATTAATGAGTGTGAAGAACCAGTGACTCTCTCCAAGTCAGAGTTTCCCCTTACATATGAACAAACCTGCTGTACTAAGAAAATATCCCAATAGTTGAAAGATAGCAATTCAAAAGCTTCAGTCAAATTTTAGAAAAGTGCTAATGTTCTTAATGCAAAAGGACAAAAACGGAGGGTGTTCCAATGGCACAATCATTAACTTATTTCAGAAATTTTCTGCCCAACCAGGGGTCAGGAGTTAAGTTACACAGCAAAAGAATAGTCAATAGAACACTGTAGCTATAACTTTGTAACAAAGAGCATACTGCAACTGCCCAAAGTGTGTACACAATCTTTGGCCCCCACACACCCAGCAGAAACAACATCACCCACAGCATAAAGATTGTGTCCATTGTTTATTAAGTACCTCCTCTTGGCAGCTTATGAAATACTCTATTAAGTACTTCAACACTAGCAGTTTTTCCAAAAACTGGTCAATTTATGAAACTTTAAAAAACGTAAGCCAGATTTAAATGTTACACGAGTTGCTCCCTGCAAAATGGCTATATTACAAGGAGCAACAAACAAATACAATCTTGCTCTGCATGTTTTTAAAAACATTATCAGAAAAAGTACCCAATGTACAATACATACACTTTTGGCATGTAACAGATTGTGTTTTCCAGTTTTAGGTTAAAACTGATGAAATCTAAAAGCAAAAACTAAAACACGGTGGGGTTGTTTGTTTTTATAAAACATACACCAAAAACACAAAACTTTTAAATAGAAGTCTAAAGGTTCCTCATGCTCATTCATTTCTGGAGGCAGGAGTTTGCAGTGGGTCCTGGTTTTATTTTTCTCCAGAGGGGGAGTGGTGTAGGAACCAACAAGTTTTACTACTAAAAATGAGCAATAATTTCTCTAAAATTAAAATATCAAAAGTCAGAAAATAAACTAATTACGAAAACCAATAAAAAAAATAACTAACTGATTTCTATGTTCTCATTTAAACTACTGGCTCAGGTCTTCACTTAATCTTACCCCAAAGATGTTAGCTTTTGGATAAAAATCCACATTTATGTTTCATACATTGGATCTAAAGGTAGGTTAAAGAGAGAAAAAGACAGAGAAAAAGAGAGAAAATAAAAAGATTTATAGAATATTTTTATAGAAGAGCTGTTTTTTATTTTAGTCTTTTCTATTATATGATCTACCTACCTGTCTACTCAACAAAACTTCCACATGCT